CATTTGAAAGTGTCAATATTATTAAGTTAATTATTATAGGAATTTTTGTGGTAGATTGGTAATAGCAAAAACCCTAAAAATTTTATAGTAACTTCATTGTATTATTATGTGCTCACTGTAATTTTTGTAGCCCAAAAATAGACTATTTAATATGGTAGCTAAATACCCATTTAGGCTAAATGAATAATGGCATGATATTGGTTTATAAAAATTAAGCACTTGTAGGGTGAGCTTGGAATCTATTTGGTAGAGATAATGATTAGCTTAGTATCTTAGTCATTAGAGCTAGCTTAGTAGCTTAGCATATGTATTCTTATTTTAAGAGTTGTTGTTGCCAAAATACTAAGTGTTGCATCATTGTTGCATGCATGTAGAGAACGAGTTGGTGGAGTTCATGACCGCCGAAGAGTAGGAGTACGAGGAGGTGATCAAGGAGTACGAGGAGGAGGTACTTGTGCAGGAGGAGGTCCCGGAGCCATCACTAACTAACTTAGCTGACAATCCGTCTACCCAAGGCAAGCCCCGGTGCACAACCCTTATTTTAAATGATCACTGGATATATATATATGTGATGTGCATTTACGTTACAGGATTTATATTGAAACTACATGCATAGATAAACCTACATATGAGTCCTACTAGCATAGGTCGAGTAACTGCTATGTTTGGACTATCGGTAGCGTGAGTAACCTACCGTTACTCACAATAGGTGGTTATTATTATTACTCTCATGATAAAATAGTGAAAGGATATGGTATGGGTATTGGTGGGTGTAATAGGTTGTGTCCCATGGCCAACGGGACATAGCTTGGTTACACTATTTTTCCTGTCCGTGTCGGTTAAGGACCGTCCGTTGTTGTGGATTCTAGTCAGGTCACATACTTATTATCCTGGGCATATACTTGCTTATGGGAGCGGGAAGGCTCGTTGCTCTCTTGTCGTGGGTTCTGGCTCTTTCCGGACCGACTGATTGGAGGCAGGGATGGTGGAGGTCTAAGCACCACACTGAGTCCGGGACTCAGGAGTGGGGGCTTGGAGTCCAAGTTTGGACGGGGACCTAGACCCCTTGACAGGAGAGTGGTGGGTTAGTCTTGCTTGTGCCTAGGGTACAAGCGGGGCGTGTGTTTCGGGGTACCTAGCTGGGATACATTGGTTCATGAATCGCCGTGTGATACGATACGACTTGGCTATGATCTAGCACCATAATAAGAACTGGAAGATAAAAGGGAGTGAATGGATCTGATTGCTCAACTCTTGCTTGAAAGTAGAATAGGTGCTTACATAGAATGGTTAGCTAATGAACTAATCATGACTGCTAATAAAACACATACATAATGATTCACTATTAGTAATGCTTTTCGCAAACAAAAAGGAAACACAGCAAATCAAAAAGCTTATCATATCCTTTGGAGTCGGAAAATTATTCCCACTAGTCGGGTAAGTCTTATGAGTACATTGTGTACTCAAGGTTTATTTACCCCTGTTGTAGGTGCAGCTTGAGGAGTTAGCTGTTGTGTGGAGGATTCTTCTGGTGGGCACAAATGGATCCTTGTATCTTGTCATTAGATGTTTATTTCAATTCCGTTGTTTAAATTCCGCACTCTGAACTTGGTATTATAATAATATATTTCCGAGAACTCTTGTTGTATGAAATAGACTAAGTATTGTAAACTTGTTCTCATTATTGGATCTTGGATGAAAAATATGGATTGTTCGAGTTCTCTCTTAGGGTGTGCTCGATGGGACCATCTGATGTAGCTTACTTTCGGGGTGCTTAGCATCTAGTGGAAGACGAGCGCCTCCGAAAGCGTGCTATTTCGGGCGGTTATGCCACACAGGAAGAGCATCAGGTGATCGCTGACGTCAGCCTTGCCTACGCGCACAGAGAAGAGGAGCAGGGACTGGATGCTGGGGCGTGTCAGGTCACCTCTGACCTGATGCATTCGGTCAATAGAAAATGGCTCTGAAACCTCGCTGGAAATGATCTGACGCTAAGTGATCCAGAGTCCGATCGTTTCTTCTATGAGTCCAGTCACAACTTAAACCTAGGGCGCTTGATCAGCTGACTGTTGGAGATCGATGCTTGGTATTCAAAGTACATGACACGTGGCGCGAGATCATCGACCGGACGCTGGCTCGAGCGCGTTCGGTCAACCCGACCGGCGTGTCTGGTCAGTATGCAGGGCGCCCTTCTTTGGCTCTAACGGCTCTATTCGTTTGGGAACGTCTATAAATAGTGTTTGGCCAGCTCCAAGGCATTTCTCTTAGCACTTTGACATACTTGACATCCTTGTGAGCCTAGGCAAACACCTCACATTCATCTCCATCATTGATTCATCATCATAATGAGATTCGGAGTGATTCTAAGTGCATTTACTTGAGTGATTACATCTAGTGGCACTTGGGGATCATTGTGGCTGTGGATTTCTTGTTTCTCTTGGTGGTTGCCGCCACCTAGACGGCTTGAAGCAGCGGAGGAGCTTCGACATGAGTTGGTGATTGTTCGTGGCCGGCTCCGGTGATTGTGAGGGGTCTTGTGTCTTCCCCGGCGGAGAGCCGAAAGGTAAATCTAGTGGATTGCTCATGTCATTGAGTTACCTCACTTGTGGGTAGGTTCTTGCGGTGTCCAATTGTGTGGACGAGGTTCGTGCAACACCTCTTAGCTGCCGAACCACCAAGTGTTGGTCGACACAGAGGGACTAGCGTGTCGGCAAGCACGTGAACCTAAGGAGAAAAATTGGTTATCTCTTGTCCTTTGGTATTCTCTCGGTGATTGAATTAGTATTCATCTTGTAATTGGTTCACTCCTCTACGCGGCGGTATAATCATCCTACTCACTCATTTACATTCCCACAAACTAGTTGTAGCAAGCTCTTTAATGTAGCTAGAATTGAGAGTTTGCTTTGTAGTTTAAGTTCATCTAGTGGAGCTCTTTAGTGTAGCAAGTTTGAGAGCTCTTAGTGAGTAGCAACTTAGTCTCCTGTGTGCCTAGTGATCATAGCAACTATAATTGTTGGATAGGTGGCTTGCAACCCTTGTAGAGCTAAAGCATATTTGCATTTCGCTATTTATCATACTAATCAAATTACTCTAGTGATATTGTAGATTTTTAAATAGGCTATTCACCCCCCTCTAGCCATATTAGTACCTTTCACCGGTTCTAAAGCTCCCAACAATGGCAGAGGCGACAATACAAGTGGGTTTTGTATTGATGTATGACACTAGATAAATGGGCTACTCCACCAGATCATAACCCCCTCTACTCCTCAAAAGTGAACTAGGAGTATGCATGTGGGCATAAAAGGGAATAACTACCACTGTTGGTTTATAATTGGTAGTAATCCTGATTTCAAAAAACAATTATGGGAGAGAGGGAGCGTCAAACAAGAGCATCATCCTCGCCATTGAGATTAATGTCAAGTTTGAATTAAAATTGGCAACAACAATAACCAAAGGCTATATTTCCTACCATAGAGAGAGTCTAGATTTAAGAGCACCGTTCTAGTAGTTATGAAGAAAATGCCTTCACCACGGTTGTGGTAGCCGAGCTGTGACTTAAGCAAGTACATTGTTGGAAGAATCTGGTTCCATGTGTCATAGTATTTGAGTGCCTTACCCACACGGAGCAAGATACCACCATCTAGGTTGAAGGTGGCTTTGTTGATTATAGAGCAATCATCATAGACGTGCTGCCTTGATTACTCCCACCGGGCAAGCGTACATCGGTCTAGTGTCTGTCAGCCGAAACCAATTCCCCGGTATTATTAATTGGGTTGTTTGGTTTTGTCGACATATGCCGACGGTTATAATGTGCATGTTCTAGTTCCTTTGTGTTCGACAGAACTTTGTATCAATGGTTATCTTTGGTAAACAACTTCGACATCAGCCAAAGGAAGAAAATAACTCTAGGTGGGATACGGATTTTCATATAATCGTATAAATGCAGGGTTGCACCTAAAAAAAACAAGTAAAGCTAAACTTCACTCGAGTGATTCTAGGCTTTCTCTCACTCGATTTTTTCTGCCCAATCTAAGGTTGCCACATGAACTTCTTTCCCAACTTCGGCATTGCTAAGGTTAGGGTGTGAAGCTTACCTAAGTCGTCCATCAGGCTTAGAGGGATCGCCGGTGGAGAAAATTGGGCCTATGGTGATGACGAGCGTGGGGGCGACCGTGGCACTGCTGGCCGGGCAACAGGGGAAGGTAGTTGGACGGAGAAAAGGGTGGGATGTCAAGGTGATAGCTTGGATGGAGATGAAGAAGATGGCGAGAAGGAGGCACATCCGATGGACTTTAGGGTTAAGGCTGTGGTGAATGGTGGGGGAGTCGACACTGACTGGGAGGTGGAGGAGGGGGTGGGCGCCATGTTGGGATCGAGTCAGGTGGAGGAAGAAGGAGAGAAGGTAAGATGGAGAAAAAGAGAGATTTGATCTAAGCTCTCTATTTTAGATCTAAGGAAGAAATCGCAGACGGGCTCAAAAAATCATAATTTTATAAAGGTTTTGTAACAAAAAAAGGGATTTGTTAAATTTTAGATGCCTGAATTTTAGTTTCTTTCAGCGACGGTTATTGCATATATTTTATACTATAATTATAGTTTTAATTTGTTGCAATTTCTGTAGACACGATCTGTAATTTTTGTTCCTAGAATAAAAAAAACGCGTTAGACAAAACTACAAACCTGATAAAATCTGACAATTTACAATTGTATAGTCCGACAAGGATAAAAAATTTATATGTTATGACAGAAAGACAAATAACAAATCATAAAACTGACAATTTACTTGTACTAATTGGAAGTACAGGGGTGATCTCTGAAATTATTTTAAAATTCAAACACTTCAAATATAGGAGAAGTGAAAAAAAATGGTACGTTGTGGAGTTGCATCATCACCCGATAAGAGCATCCTCAATATTCAACTTAGATTAAAATTCAAAACAACATTTAAAAAAAAAACTGGCAACAACAATTACCGAAGCCTGGATTGACAACAACAATTATCAAAGCCTAGACTTTCGATCGTAGGGACGGAGCAAGCTGTCCTCACAAACTGTCGCAATGAAGAACACTCCATCACCATGGTTGTGATAGCGATATTCGAGATGCGTCTCGAGCGAGTACACTGTCTGCAAAGTCCCGTTCCGCATGCCATAGTAGCCCAGTGCCTTGCCCGTGTCCAGCAAGATCCGGCCATCTATGGGGTCGACGGCCATGGGCATCACTGCTAGCTCCGTCGTCCGTGGTGAGAACTCCGGCCACTGCTGCAGCTCTATAACGTGCTCTCTGCTCCACCCCTCCACGTTCTTGCCCCACACAGTCACGGTCTCCACGCTCGCGGACAAGTTCACCGCGCACAGCTTCCCGGCGAGCTCCGCGCGGACCATCCTGTCGCCGCTGTCCACGTCACCTAACAGAGCAGGCGGCGCCGGCACGACCCCGAAGGTCTCGGCACGTACGTCGAACGCCAGGATGGCGAACTCTGCGGCGGCGGTCCCGAGCCGCGGCTCCCAGGGCCAGTACATCTTGCCGCCGACGTGGACCGGCGGCACGTCGACCGCCGCAGGGATGGGCGGCTGAGAGTCGAGTGTTCTCGGACACAGATCCCTCGCCGGCCACACCCTGCACTCCATGGCATACGTCCGTGTATCGAGGCGCTGTGACGTCTAGGAGAGATGCACCACGACGTGCTCCTCCCTCGACGGATCGTACCCAAGGCCGGCGCATCCGTAACCTTGTTCGGGGAAGACGAAGTTTCTCACGGCTCGCGTCACAGGGTTGCACACGACATGGCGCTTTCCACTTAGGTGGCTCAGGAGGACGAGGCCGTGGCATGGCGTGCGGCACACCACCCTGGTCGTGGACAGGGGAGGGTTCCAGCGGCCAGCTCCGGGGTCACCGGAGCACGACTCCAGTGAGACGACCGTCCCGGTGAGGAGATCCAATTCCAAAACCTCCCCAGGAACATCGGGAGCTGTCGTTGCGCCGAAGCGGGCCAGGAACGCGACGGACACGGGACTGGTCGCCGCCGTCGCTATGGCGGTGGCGTTGTGCTGGGTCGCGAAGCGGTCGCTTTCGAGTATGGCGCGCCAGCTCCTGCACACGAGCTTGAGGCGCCCGAGCGTGCGCGCCGGCAGCCGGCGCAGCGCCACGGACAGAGCACGCGCAGGCGGCGACGACCATAGGATGTCCTGGAACGGCAGTCCGGCGGGCACGAGGCTCTCCTCGTAGGGCACGGGGAGCCGGGGGAGGTGATGGTGCGCTCCTCCGTTGCCGCGACTGCCAAAGCCTGGGTCCGGCACGAGCTCCTCGAGGGTCCCGGTGGCGAGGCAGTACGCTGCCACCTGATACTCTCTCGAGACAAAGAGTATGCGCCGGCCGCCGTCGACGAGGGCGAGCGGAGTGACGCCGTTGAACATGAAGTCGTCGCCCACTTCCGGCGGCGGCGGCGGCAGCTTGGTCAGGTCGATGTGCCAGTGTTTCTCCCATGATCCCGTGGTGTAGTCGGTCAGTAACCAGATGTCAACGGATTCCAGGCTCGACTTGGGACAATGGGGCGCCGAGAGAAGGCACAAGCATCCAGCGAGCTCCGCCAGCGCGAATGTCTTGACGCAATGACGGCCGTGCCAGGCGGCGGCGTGACGTAGCCGAACCTTTCGTCGGCCATGGAGAAGGATACGATATGTTCTTCCTCTCCGTGGCGGCCCATGGTGGGCCAGTGCACGTGGCCTTCAACGAAGACACCCATCTGGTTCATCCGGACACGTTCCGGCGGGAGCACCGCGCCGCCCGCCGCCGGTCTCCAGTGCCCGGTGGAGCTCGCACCGACGTCGTAGATGTCGCAGCCGGCGGGTCGGTAGTCGTGGTACAAGAGGCGCACGACCTTGTGGCTCCTGCTCCGCGCGTCGTAGCCGAGGCCGAAGCTCGCGTAGTCGCTGCTCGGGTAAGGGCGATCCGCCATGCGGCCGTCAGGGAGCGCGGCGATCAGCCCCGTGGACGGGTTGCAGAGGTATCCTCGCGTCCGTGGCGCGCAGGAGGAGGACGCCGCGGCACGTGCGGGTGACGGCGTGTAGTTTGCCGTTGCGACTGTTGTGCGGGACGGCCATGAGCTGCGTGAAGACGTCCTTCCCGAGCTCCGGCGACCACGCGTACACCGTCGACGCGGCGGCCGAGCGCGGCAGGAAGCAGAGCCTAGTTACCTCGCGGTGGCGGTTGGCGAGGTCGAAGTGTCTGTCGACGAGGGCGTCCGAGGACAGCGTGGCGGCCCAGGCGCGGGAAAGGCAGCGGCACCGGAGCACCGACTTGGCCGGCATATGCACGAAGATGTCCTCGATGATCTCGTCCGGGAGGTCTTGGTGGCACGGCGGCGAAGCTTCATCATGATCCCGGCTCATCGAGGGCTCCCCCAAGATCTCCTGGTTGTTTTTGCATGGTGATGAAGCCATCGCCTTGATCGCTTCTGACGATTGAGTAGACGAAGTACAACAAGCACGCGAATACATTTATATACGGTTTTCAACTTTGCTTTGCCGACTCCAACACGAATCCGTGGCGTGTAGTCTATTTTGCTGTAAAACAACCGGACTTGATGATCCCGTTTAGGAATCGTTAGATCAAAATCATACCTCTTATCAAACTTTTCACCCTTGTCCACACTATTTATATATATTATTAATCAAATTTGACGTAATTATTATTAATATTTAGAAAATAAATAAATAATAGTTCATCAATATTGGTTTGTTTTGAGAGAAAGATGAATGATCCAATATGGATGATGTGTAATTCTTTTTATTACTTTATAAGATTATAAGATTTGCAAAACACGATACAAATGTAAACAGAGAAAGAGGGACGATTCACTGTTGACGACGTAAGTGTAAATATAGACACTCACATATATTGCATAGAACAGTGATCACAAATATGCTTACACCATATCAGTAGATTTGGGAGAGCTGTGTCAACAGATTTTGGGGGTTGACAAACGCAACATAGGCGTTCAATATCAACAAACTCATGGCCTATCATTAAAACGTAACATAGTTTATTTCTGAATAAATCCAAAAAAAAAATATGAGCATCTTTTCCGGTGTGATGACTTTCCACCACAATAAACGTAATCAATTGAGCTATGTATAGTTCGTAGCTAGCTACAAAACAAAGCTTGTAAATAAACACGTCTAAATTTTTTGATAATGTTAAGTTTAAGTGGCTAAAAACAAAACACTATGTACAAGAGAGTTGCATGTGTGTTGTTTCGTTGATATAAAAACACTTATACATTATAAGAAGAGATGTTCGTGTTTTACTATCAAACTCTTGTTGTAATCTCATTTTTGACCCTCAAACTAAAAAAAAACTTGATTTGTTCGAATTATGGAACCCAAAAAATGTAGTCTCTTAGCTAGTTTTTAATTATGATTGTACCTATATGTATTTTCTAAACAAAATAATAAAATATGGTTTAATCTCTAAATTAAAAAAACAATCCATTATAGTTAGAAAATATCGGTACCAAACATTTAAATATAAGCTATCTATATTGGTGCTAAGTTATTTGGACTTTATTGATTTGTGTTGTTAGTGTTTTATTGTTCGCTTTCATGACCATCATTTTACGCTTTAGTTTGTGTTGATTGCATAGTTTTATCCATCTTTGTTTAAAACCTATTACCTAGTAATTAAAGTAGTATATAGCAATAAAAATAAAGAAAAGTACTAATCATGCCATGCATGTCTAACTAGGATATTTATATGATGGATCATGTCATCCACGAGATTGGTGTTGTCTTTACTACCTTGTTACATGTATTGTTAGATCATTTTGGTCGATCTCTTGCCTAATATCAGATTGGTATAGTAAATTACGCACGTGACAATGTGCAATAAATCACTAGAAGAAAAGAAATAAATAAGATCTGAATAACTTTAAGTATAGCACCATTCAATAGATTATATTATTCCAAAAAATGGATACTATATTGTATTTTTAAACTCAAATGAATTAGTTATGATCTTTTAGAGACTAAGTTAGTTTTTTTTAAAATGTTTTTAGAAGATATATGTACAGGAAAAATCACACTTGAAACCAACTAAATGGCTAAATCTACTTTCGTGGCCAGCAATATGTTGTTTTTAGTTTGATGGACAAAACCAAACCCCAATGGTAGTGCAAAGGTTAAAAATAGACTTCTTCCTCCGTTTGAAATTAGTTGACATACTTCGTTGCATTTAGACAAACCTTTAAATAAAAATTTCTTTATTAATGTATAATTTTTGTAATAAAAAATTGTTGTTGTTAGTATTGAAATGTATATTTTGCTTTTAAATAAAAGGGAAAAAAGTTCAAATTATTCGCCTCAAGTTTGGCATATGTCTAGATAACCCCCCAAACTAATCTTTGGTTCATTTTACTCCTCTAACTATGGCCATGTTCGCTTCTCTTATAATCCGTCTTTTTCAGCCGGAACAGTGCTTCAGCTTGTTTTTTCAGCGAAGCGAACGTGGCCTATTTTAGCTAGTCCAATTTACCTCTTAACAAGATTTGTTATTTTTATTTCTCCACATATAAGTTGAGTTTTAATTTAAAATTTTGTGAGGTGATGGGGGACAACATACTCTTATGTTCAAAAACGTTACATCTTAGTTTTTGCCATTACTTTGATAGGTTAGGAAATTTAATAATAAGTTAACATGAGAGATATAAATTGTACATAATCTAATCATGTGTATATATATTTCTAATATAAAATGTGATGTTCTCTATCATCTCACAAAATTCGAAATTGAAACACAACATATATGTGGAGAAACAAAGAAGACAAATCTTGTGAAGGTGTTAGCTAGAACAACTAAAATAGTTAGAGTGAGTAAATTAGTAGCTTAGGGGGTATCGGGACATATCCGAAACTTGAGGAGAGTATTTTTTTTTACTTTTTTTTATAAAAAAAACAGAATAATCTACTCTAATACATGTGGATTGAAAGGGATTGAGGTAGCAAATTATTTCCACTCTTCTCAAATTCACATGAATCAGAAGGGTCCTAGTTTATGTAAACAAACTCCAAATTACACATAAGCCAATTGTAGATGAAAATTGATTTTTTTATTTAAATACCAATCATTTGGTCAGCATATATAGTTCAGATTACACATGATGCTCTTAAGAACAATTTGATGTACATACACATTGGCACATGACTAAACATGATACTGTTACAAACTTACAACTGGCCGACGCGGTACTTTTCCGCCTCGTGCTTCCATGGCTTGAGCAGCGCGCCGTTCCGTTGGTGTACGGCGTGACCAGCCAGCGGGAACGCGGTCGCGGTGTCGAGGCGGCCGGCGTGAAGCGGCCTGTGGTGTGGGACGACGGAGAAACCGAACATGCGCCGGACGCGGTGGCGTTCGTCCACGACCGAAGTCGCGCTGACGGCGTCACGGCGAGCGCGGGGCAGTCCCCTCCAATCCCCAGCGCGCCAGCTCGATCGAGGACGTGACGGCCGTCCCTATCCTGGGCCTAGGGTCGATTAGGATACGACGCGCACGGAAGTCGACAGGGAGGCTGAGCACCGCGCGGCAGTGGTGGAGCGGCACGCGGCGGTAGGCCGGGCTGCATGCGCGTACCCACGAGGCATCGGAGGTCGTCGTGGATGCGGCGCTCATAGCTTCTTGCACGAGGCAGGGAGCGCATGAAGGGCGAGGTGCGGGACTGAGTCCACCACGGGAATGAGGTGGAACAGCAGCGCGTGGCGCGCGACACTTCGCGGCCGCCGGAGGGAAGCACGAACGAGCGCGCGGTGGAGGAAGCGGAAGTCCGGCGTCGAGGCGCCGAGGGCCGGAACGCGACGCGTGGCATCCGGCTCGATGGGCGCGACCCCCCACCCGAGGGCTGTTGAGCTTCTTCAGAAGCTTCTTGCAGGGGAGGGGCCGCCCGCCGCTGCAGAAGATGCGGAGGCGGGAGCTGGCTGGGGTTGGAACTGGAAGGAGGAGCGCTCTCGCGACGCAGAGAGGCGGCGCGCTATAGCTGGCGGCGGCGTGGCGAGGCGAGCCATCGGAATGGGGGAGGCTGAGGCTGGCAGTGGCGGGCACCGGGGCAAGCGCGGTGTGCGCGGCGATGGCCGGGGAGGGGGGCAATGCCGAGGAAACAGCGTCGCCGACTCTGCTCCGCACCAGGGCCCCAGCGCCGCCGCCTCCGGTCCGACGCTGTCCGTCCCGCGCCAAGCCACCCGCTCGATCCACCAGTGCGGGACACTGGGGGGATTTGTCGAAGAAAATCGAGGGGGGGGAGGCGGGCACCGCGAGCGAGCGAGCGGTTAGCAAGCAAGCTTGCGTCACAAGACTCCGTACGCCTGCCACCTGCCAGACTGGCAACGGCAATGGTTCTATTGCTAGCCTTATGGATTTGTTCAATCCTGTGAGTTCAGTTCTACAAAATTTAGCTTCCGACTCATTAGCTGGTGCAAACCGTGCCGATGGTGATACTGCTTTCAACTACTTGACATTTTTCGAGTTTATATTTGTCCTACTGATGATGAGAGAAATAATGAAGATCACAGAACAACTAGGTCAGGCTTTACAAAAGAAAACACAAGACATAGTGAATGCCATTCGACTTGTGCAATCCACAAAAGTTCTACTTGAAGAAATGAGATCAGATGATGGATGGGAAAATTTTATTTCTGGCGTTGTTGAGTTCTGTTTGGGTCATGAAATTGACATTCCAGATATGGAAGCAACATACATTATGCGTGGTGGTGAAGTTAGGTGCAACCTAAACTTAAAAATGTCGTCAACCAGATCATTTTACCAATGACCGCTATTTTCGAGTGGAGATATTTCGGGCAACAATTGATACTTAGTCTTCTAGCTGAATTGAACCTGAAGTTCAATGGAGAAGGTGATGGACCTTTTGTCCATTAGCACAACAACATTAATACTGTTGAATCAAAAACGGATTTCCATCTTTCAGTGCTAGTGAGATATGCAAAGTGGTTGAGAAGTACTACCCAGAACTTTGTTGAAGATTTCAACCAACAAGAGAAGCTTAGATTAGAGTATCAGTTGAAGCATTTTGTTGTTGATGCTTCCAACAGTGAAGAGCTGGAAAATATTGCAACCATAGCTGAGCTATGTCGATGTCTTGTTGATACAGGACGCCATAGGACTTCTAACATGATCGATGCAAGATTGCTTGCAATTCAATTGATGAGCTTGAGACAGGACAAAGGCAAATCAAATCTGCTTGATACAAAGACAACTTGTTGCTTGCTTACTCTTCCCAGTTTCATTTTTCCGAAATTGGTTTTTATTGTAAGTGTTGACTTATCATCTAAGCGCCACGTTTTTCTATCTTGAAGATCACTAAGACAAGACTACGAAACAAGATGGAAGACAAATTTCTTGCCAATAACTTGGTAGTACACATAGAAATAATGGCGAGATCAAGACAAGAGACTACAGCTATGAAGATATAATTACTGATTTCCGGAATTTGAAGAAAAGAAAAGTGGACTTTTAACGAGTGCTAGTTCTATGGGTTACTTGTCTTTTGGTATATATATATACTAATATGATACTGACTGGATACTGTAATGGGTATCCTATGGACAATAGACCATGGTCACATGTGTTTTGTTAATTGTGACCTAATTATAGTAGTATAGAACTAAAGCTTATTTCTATGGAACTTGTGTTATGGTCTGGATTTGACAAATGCTTCGGTTTTGCTTGCCTCTTCCAGTTTCAACAGCTAGTGTTGGCTCCAAGCTCCGCCACTGCCCATCGCTCGCCTGCCTCCTCAAGAAAAGTGGCCATCATCACTAGCCTCTGCACCGACGTCTCCACCTCCCGTTCGCCTCCCGTCGTCGCCAGGACCTCCCTCACCGCCTGCGCCTCCTCTTCGCCGCGCCTCACCAAGCTATCCACCGACACCTCCGCCTCCGCCTCCACTTCGACGCCGTCATCACCAGGTTCTCCCCCACCGCCTGCGCCTCCTCCTCACCACTTCGCGCCACTGCCCTAGGCGCCGCTCCGGTGTGGTCCTCGGCGACACCCGCGTCGGTTCTCCCCAACTCTGCGTCGTCCGAGAGCATTCGGTGTGTCCGCTCCGCCTCCGTGTCCCCAGGCAGCGCGACGGTGGGGGGCGCGACAACCACGACAGTCGACGCCGAGGCCCAGCGAGTCCGATCGGCTACAGTCTCTCTCAGAACGGCGACGACCCCCACCTCCACCTCGTCCTCCTCCTCGCCCGGACGAATGCTCCTGATCCTATCGGTGGTGACGGCAGCTATTCTAGCAGCGGCTGGTAAGTTGCTTGCTTCGTTTGCCCGCACCATCTCCCACTCTTATTTAGTTCCTAGATGTGATGGCTAAGTAACCGATGCAGGAGGGTGGGCGGCGAGGGGAGGGTCTGATAGAGAGCAGCAGCGGGCTGCCACCGACGACTACTGCGAGGTCTGCTTCGTGAAGAAGGCGGTGTTCCTCCTGGAGTGCTGCAACAAGCCCGTGTGCAACTTCTGCTTACGTGATTTCGTAAGGGACTGCCACAACGAGTGCAACTTCTGCTTACGTGATTTCGTAAGGGACTGCCACAACGAATCCTGCAAGCGGCTGGCGGCCCTGAGGATTGTACCACTACTTCACCCGCACGAGTTCGAGATAGGCAGTGATGTGCCGGAGAGCTACGCGCACCTGCCGCAGTACCCGCCGTGGTACTTCGCCACATCGGTGAAGAAGAACTATCGAGTTCACTTGTTCTACTATCATCTTCAGGAGTTGGAGGGGGGAGCGGATCCACAGGTAATGGAGGTGATTCACCTCGCATACCCTCGAGGCGAACTGTCCGCGGCAATTCAGCGCGACATTCAGCCGACGATGAGTGTCTGTTCGTTTAGCTGCAATGACTAAAACTACTGTTAGCTGATTTGTTATGAGAGAAAAATACTATTCGTTGGTTGGAAAAGTACGACTTATAAGCCAAGCGAACATGTCGCGCCGTTTTCTAAGCTACAGGCTCTCACCTGGTACTGAGCCTCGTATTTCTCTCACTACGCTAGCTCTGAAGCTTTCTGTAGTCTAGCGGTAGCTGAATAAGCTTTCTGTAGCTTGGAGCCTCAGGCGAGCCTCGTATTTCTCTCACTACGCTAGCTCTGAAGCTTTCTGTAGTCTAGCGGTAGCTGAATAAGCTTTCTGTAGCTTGGAGCCTCAGGCGTACCCGTATTTCTCTCCGTACAATGCAATGCTAGCTCTGAGTTTCATGTAGTCTAGTGGTAGCTGAATAAGCTTTCTGTAGTTGGCTGCTACAATGCTAGCGGTAGCTGAATAAGCTTTCTGTAGTTTGCTGCCCCAGGCGTACGATGTTAGCGAATGTATGGGTGTACCGTGTACACATACACATCTCAGTAAATGGTGACTGCTTGTTACTGAGCTTCCTGCAGTTATATGCTCATTCTGGCATTTCTAGACCTTCTTACATAGCGCTCGATGAGAAATAACAAAATCTAGCATAATGAGAACGTGATCGATACAAAATAAAAGGGCAGTAAAAAAATCCAGACATTGCAACTTAGCAGTATCAATCATCTGAATATATTTTTTCACATATAAAGGTATATTTGCAACTATGTAAGACATGGAAACAAATAAAACAGCACATGCCACCTGATGTAGTGTGTATCTACCACGCTACAACTCAAAGCATATATATGGTAAGGATGCAAGGGCAACACAGGTTCTGGCAACGACTACCAGCGCTGTTTCTAAGGTTTTGCAAACTCTCATGCTTAGCACTACTTTCTCCCTTCCATCGAAGTAGCTTCAGCCATTGTTACAGTAAGAGATCCCATGCCCTTGCCCATGTGTGCCGTGGTTGTACAAGCATTAAGTTGAGGCATCAGACCCTGCCGCTTGCGCTGACTGCGGACAAATTAACAGCGGGTTTTTGATACACCCTTACAACTGCTGTTCCATCGCCACCATCATTGCCAACCCTCCAGGACCGATCCTTCTTCCGCTGGGGCTTCTTGTGATGCTTGTGGGATGCCTCTTTCTTCTTTGCAGTAGTTTTGGACCCTCCATTGCCCAAGTCAAAAGATTCGAGGTCATCCAGGACATCTCTCATGTCTGGTTCAGCAGGATCCACTCCATCCTCACCCTCTTCATCAGCATCTGATTCATTCGCTGCTGAAGTAGTTGGACCTTCTGATCCGATGATTTGTTCAAGATCCACCTCAGAGTCTGTTACGCCAGGAGGGAGTTCAAAGTGTGGGATTTTACCATCAATGTAATCCTTCAGTATCTGTCGAGCAGCCCTGGTCTCATCCGGCAGACCGGCATGGCTGACATGCCCACGAGATGCACAGTAGGCTCGCAACAGCTCAGCAGCAGTTGGCGGCCGAGACTGAGGTTCATATGGCTTTGGCTTCGGCAAGGTGATTTTGTAAATCTGCTCAAGGATATCCCTTGGGACACGATCTGCGACCACTTGAATAGCTTCCCGGTGCTTTGCCATCCTATCAATCGGCAAGACACCACATGCCACCATCTCATGCCTTGAGCTTGAAAAGGATGGGAAGACCAGACCAGGGCAATCACACAGAGTAAGCTCTTCAGAGATTATCAGTGTCTGGAAATGTTTTGTCTTGCCAGGTGTGTGAGTAACACCAGTCCTCTTCTCCCCAACCAAAGCATTTATTGTTGAACTCTTTCCAACATTTGGATAGCCAACAAATCCAACAACTACATGCTTAGCCACTGAAGAAACAGAATCTGAAGAACTGGCTTCCTGATCATCTACAGTAGTTGAGGTCCTTCTCTGAGCTACAATAGATTCTGCCTCAGCTTGCAGCTTCATCAACAGTTCATCTCTGCCATATATCTTGGTATCCAAATCAAGTGAAGCAGATTCTTCTTCAGAGTATCCACTTAACTTTTTGCCTTCTAATGTGGCAGTGGCAGCCTTAGCCGACCAGAACACAGAGAGAATATCATGTGCCTTAAAATAATCAGCCCATCTCTTCCTGCATTGAACAAATGTAATGATGTCACTCCTAAGGCAATAAAGGTAGTACACAATCAATCAAGTCATATGAACAATACGCAGACCTGATATTTAATGGCAACAGATCAGCCTTGTTAACAAGGAGCATCGTTCTCTTGTGTTCATCAATTTCCTTTGCATGTACCTAGTACACACACAGAAAGCCATGTCAGAACTTATACAAGTCAAAAACAAGGTACGATGCTCACCAACAAAAAAAACAGTGTGCAACATAAAAAGATTGACGTGAAAGCAAACTCCCAAGAAAGAACAAAGATTCCAGAAAAAAACATAATTTACACTTCTAGAAAATAGAAGTCATAGCAAGTTTATCCTAATGCGGAACAAAGAAAAGTGAGATCAATACATGCTTGCTTTGAAAGGAATATAATTTCTGGGAAACATGGCTTCATTGCAATCTGGCAGAAAATAATATTTCAATGTGGCGATATCCAGGAAATCTCAGTTCCAATTGTTTTTTCATGATACAAAAACAAATATGGCTTGCTTCTGCCAGAAATACAGGAAAAACAGTTTCCATTTGTACATTTATTGGTTATAAAATGGACAAGGAAAGCGCTAAAACATAACTCTGAATGACTCATGTTTATGTAACAATTTTACTGATTCTGTGCAGTTCTGCAACATCGAAGGAGTTTTAAGAAGTGTCTGGCAAGCTATCATCATTTGTTTGGCCTATTACGAGTTATATACCATTTAATAAAGCTAAACAATTTATATCAAAATCAAGAAAAGTAGTACCTCAAGATCAGGGCACCGGTAGAATAAAGGATCCCGAGCATCAACCACCATAACCAACTTCACAGAAGAAAAGAAAACGGTCATTTATTTGCATAAGAAACTATATCACGACATGTTACTCTTCAATCAGAATTGCACAAACGTGATTGAGCAAGCAGAGTAGCATATTTCCATGAAAATGATATGTAAGCACCAACAGCTATACTAATAGGGTGTTTGGTTTGAGGAATGAGTTAGTCCATCTTTTAATGCATCACCTTTTTTTGTTTGGTGTGTGGAGTGGAATGGATTGATCCATCATCACCTCATTCCTCATAAGCTAATAATTAGTACTAGTACGAGAAATGGGGTCATTCCACCAAATTGAAGGAATGGGCTCATGATGCACCACCTTATCTAGAATGGAGTCATTCATCAAACCAAACACCCTATAAAGTTTGCAAGTGACCCCAGATCAGTGTATGTTACTTTCCTAGACTAGTTTAACAAACGGTCCGGTATAAGCACACACTCAGAGAAAGATTTGTAAGGCAAGCAACCAAAGCCACAACGCTGACACTAACAATTCAGTGGAGCGTAACTTACCAAATCACTGCGTTCAAGCACTCTCCAGAGTTGTCTCCAGATGTCAATATTCTTCTCAAAGGGAGTCAGGACAAGCTTATCATTCTCTTCCAATCTGCATAGGAGATTGCTCATCAGACTTACATACTCAAAGCATTGGTATACAAAAAAACGCATTAAGCACCCCGTGTCAAATTTTACAACCAACACATACTGTTCAGTCTAAGAATGCAAGTCTCATCTTTGACTATCCAGAAGGTAATCTGTGACAGGAATGTGTTCTAAAAATAAACCAGTAGCATAGCCGATACCGATAATATCAAGTAGAGGTGCATCATAAAGCTCATAAGCTCACTTGTCTTATTTGATTGCCAATTATAAAGAATTCAGTAGTTATAGCTTAGCGCCCAAACATGTACTTCTGAACCAACCTCGCAAGATTCCTGCGCCATACCAGGAAGGCCCGCCGCTCATTCGCATCAAGCTCCTCCACGGTCATCTGACTATGCCATGGCGGTCTGAATGACACACACAGGATTCATATAATAATCAGAAAAGGAACAATCCTAAAATCAAGAACAAACAGTAACACCATCAACGGTCAGAAATGCTCACCGCCTGGGGACCCTGAGGCTGCTGGCGTGCAGGGCCTCCTGCTCCTTGCGAAGCCGCCGCCTCTCCTCTTCCGTCTCCCCCGTCGCATCCCTGGCGCAACCAATCCAATCCGTAAGAATCCACAACAAGAGAACACGCTAATTCCGCAGCACCAGCAAAACAAGAAGCGGGATTTCATTATCCCCATGAAGGAAAAGGGGAGGAGGCGAGGGCTCACAGGTCGATAACGAGGTCGGAGTCGGAGGAGACGGACGCGCCCTCGGCGAGCTGGTCGGCCTCCGCGGCCCGCTGGAGCACGGCGTCGATGTCGCTGACGTCGATGACGGACTCGAGCGGCATCGCGCGGCGGCGGCCGAAAGCGAGCGCCTCGCCCCGTTCCTTGGCGGCCGCCGCCGCCTTGTTCCGCTGCCGGATCAGCGCGCGCCCGAGTCCCTCGCCCTTCTCCTTCTTCCCGCCGCCCGCCATCGCCTTCGAGCCCGTGGCCGGTAAGAAACCACCTAGTCTTCGCCTTGGAGATAGAGGAGAGATAGGTCGCGGCTGAGAACCGTGGAGGCGGAGGAAGTTGCGGCTAGGGTTTTTGCGGCGGGGCGGAGGGTGGACGAAGGAGACGACGCGGCGGAAGGGTGGGGGCCTTCCACTACGTTTTCTCCACCGAATGGGCCTCTGACGTGTGGGACCCACCTGTTGGAGTCGTGTGTGGTGACGAGGAGAGAGTGAGAGACTGACTCATTTCCCAAGCACTTCAAAATCAGGAGTCTATGCGGCTGCGTGGCATGGCTTAACTCAGCTCGAGTGAAATTGGAGTTGTCTGCAGGGATGTTTGGCTAGAAGGATATTTTTAGTTTTAGAATGGTGTTTTATCAACGTGGATTGCTCAGTTTGCCTTTGATAGACATAAGTGTACTTCAATGATGCGTCCAACAGCAAAACAAGCATGTGAATTAAATTAAAATACCAATATGTTATAAGATAATCATGTCCAACCAAATAGTCTGAGATATAAGTCCATAGTTTGAAAATATGATTACATTAATTCTAAGCTAATGCGATGGATGTAGCCTGTTGATATATTTAACGCACGCAGATAAATCCGTAAGCGCACGGATACCGCTATAGCTTTCACCCAAAAGTATTCAAAATATCGTATCCACAGGGAAACGTGTGAGGTTAACTACGGTCCAACTTAACCCGGAGTAGCAATAAGACTTAAGAAAGTCGGGAAGTGTAGAGGAGATCACTAAAGTCTTCTAGTTTTAATCTCGATAAGCTATGTCTTATATTGTTCAATTGAGGATATTACTAAGAGAAACACAGACAGAGTATGTTTCCTATAGTAACTAGATCCTACTAGGCCTACAAACGGGAGGTGGGATGCAGAAGATTCAACGAGTCTATAAGAGTCACCCTCGTGAGCTACCATCGATCCGAAATATGGGGTACATCCACAAGTAACCCGGTCTAAGCACCACGCTTACACCTACAATTACTACTTTAACCTAGAGCGTCATATAGATTAAAGCACTCAAAGAGTTATGAACCTGATGAACAATATAAACACGATGCTTACTTGAATTAGAAGTTGATTACTAGAGAAATCTCAGACTCAAGGTTGACTTCCGCCAAGGTACAAGCCGTAGAGAGAGCACCGACAGGCCGGCATCTCGAAACTCTTTCTTCACTCTCCATCTCTCTATTTCTAAAGACTAGATCCTATGGAGGACTAATCTTCTCTTGATAGCTGGCTCTGATCCTCATGAGGAGAATATGAATTAGGGTTTCAGGATCTAATAAAGGGAGAGGGTAGGGGCTGCTATATATAGGCCAGAGGTAGAGTATGAGGCAAGGAATTGCCACGTCATCAATCCGCGTCAACTCTCTCGACCACCGTTGGATGAACCGACCTAAAACCGCCTTAGAATCAACGGTGTAGATCATAGGAAGGAGTACACGGTGGCGGAGGGTGATGGGCCACCCCCATGGGCCGAGCGGCCTCCCTAGTGGACCAGCAGGCCCACTATGGTGCTAGGTGGGCTCCTCCTTCTGGTGGCGAGGCTTGGGCTCCATCTTGAGTCGTCTTTCATAGGTTTCGCGGGTTGAATCACTTGTTGATGTCGGATTGTTTGTTTGGAGTGTATGCTAGTGGTCCCGAGAGATGTTTTCTGGATAAATCCTCCTGCAGTCATGAAATCACCAAAGCTCATGGAATTCATTAGTTTAAACCCCTAAACCTTCATTGGTGATTACATTTATGCCCTTATACATGTTTAATTGATGGCTTATAATTGTTGTTAACTACCGTCAACATAGCCAAAGTATCATGAAATGAGTCCATAGTCACAAAGCTTGATTTCAAAGTGGATCCATCATAGGCATGTTGAGACACAACATATTTGTTGTACCTTTTCGAGATAGTTGGCAAATAGTTCGTATCTCGATCGAAATTAGCAAAGTCCACATCCCCACTAGCATGCTTACGTATGAAATTGTGAAGAACCATGGTAGCAGCTACAACCTTCTTTTGTGTGAGCATGGAATAGGGAGGCATCTTATATAGAATTTGCCACTTCATCTTTGATACTCCAAATGAACGATCAATAACATTACGAATAGATGAATGAATCCAGTTGAACTTCTCTTTTAGAGTATTTGGTTCCATACCTCGATGACACTTAGGTAAATGATACCTTTCACCCTTGTATGGAGCTAGGTAACCTGGACGATTAGGATAGCCTGCGTCCACAACATAGTACTTGCCTGCACATATGAAAAAATAGCATAAGAATGTGAAGTACGAAATTGAGCATGCAAAATGTTTGTAATATTTGTACCTTGTGGATGATGTGGGAAGATTTGCGCATCCACTTCCATTGCATGGTATAGTACACTAGTGTCATGCAAACCATACCTCTCAACCAACACATCATGAAGATCCAAAAAGATATCCTTGTTCATCCAAAGCATTGTGTGGCATTCCCCTGGAGTGTTTAGGGTCTCAGTCACCCATCCCAGTCTTGGCAGCATATGCATTTGCTGAACTAGCCATACTAGTGTCTGCTTCTTGAATGAGAACTACATTAACTGTCTTAGCCTTCTTGCCTGTATTCTAGACAGGCCTTGCCGCTCTCTTGCCACTACTAGGGGAAGGGGTAACCTCCTCACCTTCTGCCACACCTTGTGCCGCACCTTCCTCAACTTGTGCCGCACCTTCATCTTGTGTTGATTCTTGTGTCGCACTACCAAGTGTAGGTGCTGCAGCCATTGCAACATTGGCGCCACAAGGGGACCAATGGTTAGCACCAACATTAACGATACCTTGATAGCAAGTCGTCAACTTCCCGCAGCCTGGAATGTTCTAAAAATATGCAAGAGAGCAACATATATTAGTACAAATAATAACAGCAACTAATTAACAAATAAGGTAACATTCCTACATATAACACTTACAGCTCTAGCTTTCTTCCACCATACATCGTCCATATCAATAGTGTCATTATTATGGTTCCAACCGGTTCCTGTTTGCCTCATCTTAAACTTTTTCCATGCCTTGAAATCTTCCTTCAATTTATCCCACTTGTTCTTGATTTTCCCCTTGGTCAATTCAATACCTGTCCTATCTTTGAATTCTTTTTCACCCGCAACATAACCAACTGAATTGGAGAATGTATTTGGCCGATTTCCTTTCTCAAGTTGTTCGGCCATCAAACCACATAGGATCCGAGTGTTCTCTATGTTCCAATCAATTTCTCGGCATCTATACCAACTCAACACAAGTATTCAGAACATGCACAGTTGCTATCATGAACTACAGAGGAACTATTTCATAACCAAAATTTCAGTAGTATGGAGCAACTATTTCACTACCAAAATTTCACTAACATGAACTATAGAGCCTAGAATGGGGATGGAATACCTTGCACGACGAGCAGATCTAGTCGGGTCTTCAAGGCAAGGTTGGGAAAGCTTGCCGGTGGGGTCTGGCGCTGGAGCAGGTCGTCGTGTAGCGGCCGTTGATGTGGAGGAAACCGACCGTCAATGAGGAGGATGCCCTTCTTCTCGTCGAGGGTTAGGGTTGGGGAGTGGAGGCGCAATGGAGGCCTAGGGGAGTGGAGGCATGGGGAAGGAGGCGAGGGCGGCGAGGGAATAGAGGCATGGCGGTGATCGGAGGGGTGGGCGAGCAAGGGGGCGGAGGTGACCGTGAGGGTGAGGGCGAGCGCGGGGGCTGCGGCGTCGCGTGGGAGACCGACATCCCGAGTACGACCGTTGGATAGGGGCGAGTCGGGGGCGGTCACAAACAAGAGAAATAACGGTTTCGCTGGGTTGGAGTGTGTAATCGATGGCAAAAATGGGTAATTTCCTTGGAACTCCATGTCTAGGTTTATTTCAGAGGGTTCTGGAGCTAGAAAACACGTGCTCCAAGAGAATGAACTAGAGCTCCAATAACTCCATGGAGTTCGGCTGCTCCAACATTTTTTGGAGTTGGGGTGTTTGGCTAGCTACAGCCAGCTCTAGCCTGGATTTTGGCTCTGGAGCCATGCCAAATAGCCCCTATTTTTCAGCCTATTTTCAGTCATCCTACCGAATTTGTATATATAGTTTCTATATAAAAGAATATGTCTGGGCAAAAACCGAATGTTTGTCTTATTACTATATTACAATGATTTCTACGGTGTAATTTATTGGACATGGTGATGTAATTTAGAGATAACACAACTTTTATTTCTAAGGATTGCATATCTCAGACAAATATATGCCAAATTTTTCAGAAAAGTTTACAAATTATTTCTATGGAGGAGATATTTGAGAAATATATATCAAATTGTTCACAAATTTTAGAAACATTACTAATTTTTCGTAATTCGGGGACGGGAGGCGGTCGCGCCTGCGCCGGGATAACTGACTCTCATATGATATTTTTAAGTAAAATGCACCGGCCTCTAAACTTAGTAGAGTGTGTCAACTAGAAACTTAAACTTGAAAATGCACGCCCAACTCCTTAACTTGGCACATGGTATGTCACAGGTCCAAACTAGGCTCGTTTGCTGACGTGACGGTCTACTCTGACACCCGCGATGCCAGACCACCCTTTAAACTTGGCAGAGTATGTCATCTAGGTGCCTAAACTTTCAAAATATATATATATATATATATGTATGTATACATGAACTAGTCTCACACTACGTGACATGTCCGGTATCCATATTTGTCTTAGTCAATATGGATATTTGTATTTGTATTCGTGTTCGATTTTAATCTAGATACTAAGTTAATGTATCTGTATATAATTTCTATAATTTTTCTCTATCCGATTCCACATTCATATTAAAAAATGTCAAATACCCGACATTGTTTGTATCCGCAAATAACAAAGTATCCTATAAACTCATGTAAAACTTATACCTATGTCTAATTAGTAATGTAAATAATATTAACTTTACTCTGACAAAACATATGCATCATTTAAACTTTGTAAAACTTTTCTTTGTGACTAATAACTTTTATCTTAGATGGAAAAGCCTCATCCGCGGCATTTACATATATAACGCTAGTCCCATCTAAGATAGAGAGCAACATTTGTGAATCATAAAAAAATATTTTCGGTCATATAATCAACTTTCACAAATAATTTAGAGAGGAGCTCTACCAAACAGGCTATTTGATTACTCTAGGAGCAATGACCTCAATCTCCACACTATCCTCATCCTCTACAATACCGCATTGCCTTGCCACCTCCCTCTACTCACATGCTCACATGTGAGGTTATGTACGTTATGTTTATGACTCTTGCTAATTCAAACGAAATATTGATTATTAGTATTGATTAGGCACGCGCTTGAATATATTAATTATATAGGAGTATACTCATAAGCTTTGATACAACCATAGCAACCTTATCGCGTTTAAGATATATTGGATGTACAAATTTTTCTTTTATTTTATAAGTATGTCTAACAATTTAATTAAATCTATTTACATTAAATAGCATAAACAACTTTATAAAAATATGATAATGCACTAGTACATAGGACTCTTGTATACTCATAAGCTGTAATACAACCATAGCAAACTCATGCACTAGTACATAGGACTCTTGTATACTCATAAGCTCTAATACAACCATAGTAGCCTTATCGTGTTTAAGATATATTTTCTTGCTATCTTATGGGCTGACTCAATGAATGATTCAAATTTAAAGGCTACCAGATAGTGTCTTGGGTGGAGGAAGTGGATTAGACATAAGGAGATTAGAGGATAGGAAAGATGCGAGAAGACGCTTGGGCTTCAACTGCGTGATTCTGGAGCTTAGTGATTTGTGGACCCTTCCGATGACGTGGCCTCATGAAATCACAGAGAAATATGGTAGTGGGTGTCGATGCGGGACCCATAGGGTTCCGCACGGAGAAGAGAGAAGAAGACCTAGTCCAACTAGGATTCCCTACATGTAATCCTATTAGGACTAGTTACGTATAATCCTATTAGGATCTCTACTTTGTAACTGACTAGGACTCCCGCCTCTCCTGGACTATATAAAGGAGGGCAGGGGTCCCTAGATCGGGAGAGACAATACCGGAACACAAACACAACAAATAGCGCAGGGCGCAATATACTATCCACACCAGACTGGACGTAGGGCGCCGTGACTTTCCGGCGTACCGAACCAGTATAAATCGTTGTCTCCCTGCGTTTACCATCGAGTTCCTGCAAACGCCGATACCCCTCCGAACAAATCACCGTCTCGGGTACCCCGTGACGGGTTGCCGGTGGTAAAACATCGACAGTGGGGTTTTGATTTATAAGAGTATAAGATAAGATGTTGTCTACTTCTATGGCTTATTATATCTCTCATGTGGCTTGGTATTGATAAGGAGCACCCCTATATATAGTTGCTTATAGTCACAATTATGTTATGACATAGCAACCTTCCACACTCTTCTATATTTCTAGAATCTACCCTATATTTGTCCATTTCTTGCATAATTTTTACCATGCAAAATATCTTGAAGTATTACTTACCATGAACGTGGCGAATAGGGCTCATGCATGCTCACCATTTATCTAGAAAGTTCATCATGTGGATGTTACATGTTCACATGTTGTATATGCAACTTCGATAGGTCGAGATGGCGGGCTAGAGGGGGTAAATAGTTATTTCTAAAACTTAATTGCGCCGGCTAACCAAAACAAATGGGGAATTAAATTACTCGATCTAGCCAAGACTACACCCCTCTATCTATGTTTTCATGTACCTTACAAAAGATCCTAATTGAGAAACTAGGGTGCTGGGCTAGGTAGAGCTCACCTACACAATTCTAGTTTGCAAGGTCACACAAACCTATGCAATTAGTACTCAAGCAACTGGAGAGCTCCTACACATACTAGTGAGCAAAGCGCACAAATGATCAAAAAAAGCAAAGCGCACAAATCCTAAGTACACTAGCACTTCTCAACTAGCAAGGCTACACAAGCCAAACTAGTTATGCAAGAGCAACAATACAAGCACAATATATGAACAAGCTTGTGTTTGGAGATTGCAAACCAACGGGAAGTTGTAGACAAAGTTGACACGACAATTTTTATCCTGAGGTTTGGTGGTTTGCCAACCACTTAATCCCCGCTGAGGCAAGCCCAAGGTTGCCATCGATCCTCTAGCTAGTGGTGACCCACCGGTCACACTCTCCCACGTGGAGTGCTCACCACGAGCTCTAGCTTTTGATCCTGCTGGACCACTTGATGCTCTTCGCACCTCACCTTACTAGAGTTGCTCTCTTCACAATCTCCCGCGGTGCAAGCACAACATGCCTCACCATGTGGTCACTTCTGGAGCACCGCCCAATCTCCGAGCATGCTACAACAGAGCACACAATCCACCAAGCCGTCCAGGAGGTGGCAACCTCCAAGAGTAATAAGAAATCCCCAATCATAAAGATTATCTAGTGCCACCAAATGCAATCCTCAAATGCAAACACTAGGTCTCTCAACAACTCTCACAAATTAGCACTAAGCTTAGAGGGGGAGAAGAAGGGAGGAGGTGGATCTTCAAGCTCCCAACAACACCCACATAGGGCACTCAATCTCTTACAAGATTTGGCACATAACAAGAGAGAGAGGATAGGAAGAACCCTAACTTTGAAACTCCAAGTGTAAGAACGGGAGAGGAGCTAGAGGAAAGGGAAAGGGAAGGCATTGCCTTATCCCTTCGGCTAGGCCCCAATGGCAACAAGCCAGCCGGCCACTCTCACACGCGGTCACTGCGCCACCATCCAAGTCCAGCTGACGCGTGGGGCTAGCACAAACGGTCAGAAGACCGGCTGATTGGTCGAGATGGTAGACTAAGGGGGGAGGGTGAATAGTCCTTTCTAAAATTAATCGCGCTGGCTAGTCAATATAAATGTGGAATTAAACTAAATGGTCTGGCTAAGACTACACCTCTCTATCTAAGTTCTCAAGCACCTTACAAAGATCTTAGTTAAGCAACTAAGGTGCCAGGCGAGGTAAAACTCACCTACACAATTATAGTTAGCAAGGTCACACAAACCTATTGTCAGTGTTTTGTAGACCGACGAGTAAATTTCTAAGTGTCGCGCTACTCTAGGAAGACGATGGTAGCACTCAAGACACAAGAAATTATACTGGTCCAGGCTAGAGCTCTACGTCCAGTCTCAGAGAGGGTAGCGAGTTCGTGTTCCTCGGTTCAAAGTGCTCTGAGGACTTACAATGGGGGTGTGTAACCTAAGAGATTTGAGGTAGGAGGAATCGGTAGATCGAAAGTCCGAATCGAGTCTCGAAGATTTTGTCCCCTTGAAGGGAGGCATGGCCGCCCTTATATAGAGTTCGGGGCCAGGTTATAGTAGAGAGATGGGTTCTCTTGACCCGAGTGACCGAGAGCCCGAGGGAGGGAGAAGCGAGTAAACTTGGCTAGCAATCCATCATGTCTTGTCCTGGCGTCATCGCACGTTTAGGCATGGTCATCATCGTGGTTGTTGTAATCTTGCTCCCCACGTCATGGTGTGGCATGGCGCTACAATGTTGGTTATGTCCTGCACGGTGTGGTCATGCCGTGGCATTCGTCCTCGTCTCCTGTTCTTCGTCATGGCTACAGTGAGGGAGCAAGTGGCTGCTCCATGGTCGCGGGTCGCCTCCCAGGGTCGTGGCGCTGTGGACCTTGACCTTGGGTCACCGCGTTGAGACTCCTGGAGGCTTGGTGAGTCTTATGAAGAAAAGGTCAGAGTCGTCTGACCCATCCTGTAGCGGGTGGGGCCATACTCCGGTCTTGTCGGGTTGGATTTGGGCGGTGCGGTGCCATACCAATTGTCACCGTGCCATGGTGTTGTCCTGTCTGCAGAGGTGCACAGTGGGATGACGACTGTCCCGAGATCCCACGTCCCGAGAAACGGCCGTCCTCTCCGTCCTGGCAGAGCAAGCGGAGCGTGCCTGTCTCTGTCAGGGTAGGCGTACTTGATGGCGCCCTACCTCTCCCTGTCCTTTCCTAGGGGTCAAGATGGGGGAGGGGTCGAGCACGACGGCAAGGCGTGCGGTAGAAGGAGAAGGAAGAGGTCGTGGAGGACCGCGTGCCTTTGGCGTTGGGCCCGAGACCTTTGTGGCTCAAGTGGGTTGTGGTTGCAGGGCTCTGGCTAGCTGGGCTGCCTGAGTGGCCTTGCATTCGGTGCCTTTAGACACCCGTGTTATCTTGACCCCGACAGCAGCCACCGTGCATCTTCGTGATCTTGGAGAGATCGTGGAGATGCTGACTTTCAAATGTATTGTGCACGTTCACCTGAGGTCGCGGCAGCCCTGAGCTCGGAGCTCGGAACCCCGCTGGTTCAAGTGTTCAATGCGGTAGGTGGCCGTTGTGTGCTGTCTTGTTGGGTGACTGTCCACACGCCAAATCTTTTTCAAGGAAGCGCTGATCTGGTTTCAGAACCGATACGGAATTCCCAAGAGGAATTCTAACCTGATTAGGTTTCTATCTACCAAACTCGATCGCTCGTAGGCCTAACTGGTTGTTGGGAATATATAGAGAGCACACGCATCACATGGTTCACCATTGATGTGCTGTCGTGATCGTGATTGTTGCGAGACAATCAACAGAACGAACGTACGTACATGACTCTGCTGCATGCCGAGCAAGAAGACTAGTAGGCAAACGACGCCGCCGGCATGGCAACAACAGATCCTCCCAGACGAGGTGATCGAGGACATCTTCATGCGTTTACCAGCCAGATCCGTGGCCCGCTGCCGCTGTCTATCCCGTGCCTGGGCCGCCGTGCTGTCCTCCCGCGGCTTCATCAACCGCCACCTCGACCTCGCCGCGCTCCCCACCAGCACCAGCTCCTGCAGGCGGCGCTTCTTCTTCCAAGAGGCCGCGGCCTTGTCCGCGTGCTTGCAGGAGCATCATCTCGCCGGGCGGCGGCTCACGCGCTCTTGCCGCGGCCTCGGCCTCGTGAAGAACTATTCCACGGGGGTTTACTACGTCTGCAACCCGTCGACGGGTCAGGCAGCCTCGCTTCCTGACGGCATGCCGGTGAAGCTAGACGGCGGCGGCGGCGGCGGCGCATGGGATGGACTCATCTTCGGCTACGTCAGCTTCGGCCTCGGGCACGACGCGCGCGCAGACCGACACAAGGTGGTGCGCCTCAACTACCCCGTCGGCCTCCCCGCCGGGTGCGAGGTCTACGACGTCGGCGTAAGCTCCAAGGGCTATTGGAGGCCGGCGGCGAGTGGAGCGAAGCCGCCCTGTTTCGCCGTCGACAGGTTCGGCGTCAGCAACACGGCCGGCGTCTTTGCGCAAGGTCGCGTGCACTGGCTCGCCACCAGCAGGAGGCCGACTTTGTCTGCGAACGCGCTGCGGCTTCGCCCCGAGCCGGACTCCGTCATGTCCTTCTCGCTCGTGGACGAGACGTTCACGTCCATCCCGCTGCCGCCCCATGCCTGCGGCAGGTCGCTCGGGCTCACGGTTCTGCACGGTGGCCGCCTGGGCCTTGTCTCCTATTACCGACATCGACCGCGTGACATATGGACGCCGGCGCCCGAGGACTATGCATGGCGGCGTGCTGACGTGCAGAACCCGGCGGGCTCGGGCTGCCGAGATCCTCCGCAGAAGAAGCTGTGGTCACAGCTTGGCACCGTCGTCGGCAGTGGCTACTGCGGAGACGACGACCTGTACGAGGAGAGCCTGGAGCCCGTTGGCCGGCCGTACGAGGACGTCCTCTTCGCGTCGACGACGTACCTGCAGGCGCTGTCGATGGCTCTGCACCGGCTTCCAGCTCGCACGCTCGGGAGGCTCAAGTCCGTCTGCCGTAGCTGGCGCGCCGTCATCGAGAGCGACCGCTTCGCCTCGGCGCACAACGAGCACCATCGGCGGCTCGCCGACGCCGCTTCATCTCCGTCGTCGTCTCTTGCAGACCGCGTCATCTTCACGTGCTGCCCGCCGCTTGAAGATGAACCCGCTGTGCCACTCCGCTTGTGCTTGGCTTCGGCTTTCGTGATGATGCCGCCGCTGATGAACAGCAGAGTCGTCGTCTCTAAGCCGTGCCATGGTTTCGCACAGGTGATGAGTCGCAGTCGTTGTTGCGGGGAACGTACCGAATTGTTCAATCCTGTCACGAGAGCACACAGAATCTTCGTCATGGACGACGTGGACCGCAGCTTGGACGTGTCGTCAGGCAGCAGCAGCATCGGGCTGGGGTACGACCAGTCGAGGCAGGAGCACGTCCTGGTGCTCCTCGCCGCCGGTACGGAGTGCAAGGTGTGGAGGCTGAGAGAGGACGTCGGAAGGGCGAGGACGGTGCCCGCGCCGCCGATCACGCCGCGGTTCTTGCCGTCTGCGTCGACGGTGCCTCCCGTGTACATCGACGGCAGGATACACTGGATGTGCTGCTCGCCGCGCGCAATCCTTGCCTTCTGCGTACGCGCAGGAGCTTTCCAAGTCGTGCCGGCGCCTCCAGCTCCAGGCACGGGCGGCGGCGGCGATGACACCAGCGGCACGGGCACGGAGTTCCTCGTCGAGCTGAGACGGCTGCTCTGCGTCGTCCAGTCGTGCCCAAGCACGGAGACGATCACAATTTGGTCCACTGCCGCCGGCGCCGGCTGGGACGATGGAGCATGGAGTAGGGAGTACGTCATACAGCTGGGCCGGTGGCCGGAGTTCTCGCCCAAGACGGTGGAGCTGGTGGTTCCCATCGATGCCACCGATGGCCGGATCTTGCTCGACACCGGGAGCTCACTGGGGTACTACGACCCGGTGCGGCGGACGCTGGAGACGGTGTGTTCGCTGTATGGTCCCGACCCGGAGAAGCCTGTCAAGAGATTCTTCGCCGCCGCGTTATGGGAGGAGAGCCTGGTTCGTCCATACGACCGGTGTGACAGATTATGGTGCTAGCTGCCTTAGTTGTCTTCATCACCGCACAATTGACCACACAACAAAAATAGTTTACTCTGGTCGTCCTACCGTGCCGTCCGAACATGACAGGCTTTTACTAATCAGAGGTCAACGGAGCCTCCACGTTAACCTCAACAGAAGCGCTAAGTAAAAAGATAAATTTTAGAAATTCTCATATTAATTAAAAACATACGGCTATTAATCAAAAGACTCTAACTATTCGTAACCATTAGATTTGTTTTGTTTTTAAAAAAGTTATCCGCCTCAACAATTATGTAGTTGATAATAAATGGAGCCTCCACATTAACCTCACCAGAAACGCTAGAAAAAAAAGATAAATTTTAGAAATTCTCACGTTAATTAGAAACATCTGGCCATTAATCAAAAGACTCTAACTATTCTTAACCACTAGATTTGTTTTGTTTTTAAAAAGTTATCCACCTCAACAATTATATAGTAGATAATAACAAATAGACTAAAATCAATTTGTGGTAGAAAAAACAACTTCGACGCACGGGGAAGTTTTTCTTCAAGAAAAAAATGTACAAGAAAAACTCCTACTCACTTTTACACAACTTAGAACGTACATAAAAAATTATTATAAAGAAAAAAACGTACGGAAAATATCCTGTACTGACGTTCTATCCTTAGCCATGAGATCTGTTTTGTTTCTTTAAGTTATCGACCTCCGCATTTATATAGTAGATAACAGACTAAAAACGATCCACGGTAGAAAAAAACAAATTGGACGTACGGAAAATATTTTCTTCAAGAAAAAACGTACGGAATAATCTCCTGTAGTCACGTTTACACAACTTTAAGCCTTTAGCGTACAGAAAAAAATCTTCAAGAAAAAAAACGTACTCATGTCCACACTTCATTAAAAAACTAATATTTTATTGGTTAGATATTAATATAATATCAGGACAACAATGCCCATCACATCTGCGTTAGATAATCTATTAATAAAAAATCAAAAAATCATATAGAAGGTTAAGATATTAATTCATATAAAACATGAGATAGAACCTATCAACCTCAACAAATAAGATATACACGTGTACCCATATATATAAATAAAAACAAATACATTATTACCCGCCTTATCATCATTATGTAATATTTTTTATGGTACAGAGGAAAAAGATGGAGGTGAGACAAAGGTTGCTGTTTCACCAAACAACTATTTTATATAGACTAAAATCAAGGACTATAAAATCCCTATTACGCCATTGTATGAGTAGTTGTTGTCATACAACCCACAACTTACTTTTTGCTGCACAAATTAAAAATTAGGAGTTACTATGTGACAACTCAAAAGAAAACCATTATACATATTGTCTATTAAGTTCTCCCTAAGAATACATTGTACTCCCTCCATTCCAAATTATAGGATATTTTAGCTTTTCTAGATACATATCTTTTGTTATTCACTTAGATATACATTATGTTCAGATACATAGAAAAATAATGTATCTAAAAAAAGCCAAAATATCTTATAATCTGGACTTGAAGGAGTACTATATAAAACCATCTATTAGACAACACTAATGTATTTACCCTAAAAAGGTCCAATTTTCGTCAACCATGCGGAATCAGGAATCCTTCTATTCGGCATTGGTACGGTTGTTTTCGTTCATGGAGTAAAAGATAATTCAAAACAACTCCCCAAATTTATAACTTAACTAGACCTTTGCCTTTACGAAAGGTAATTCAAAATAGTCTTCTAATACATTTTATAAATTACCTATATTTGTCATTATGAGAAAAGATACAAACTAACCCATGTGCTTTCAAAATACCCATTTATGCATTATAAATATAATATAAAATTATACCTTTTAGTTTGTATCAAAGTTATCAACGTTAGTCTCTATAAAACAAATAAAACTGTCTCTTCAACCTATATGCAAATACCAATTCAATATGTTACAAGTAGTCCAATATCTATAAAAGTATGTTATATATATTTATAAATTGGACCCTTCAATGCTCGCTACGTTCTGTCATATAGAGCATGTAAACATATATACGTTTAGGATAAATATCTATTTTAATAGCTTATCAAACATGGAAAATAGTCCTTAAACAAAACCACATATCAAATTATACTAACAATATATTTTAAACATATTAATACAGCATGACAATAAAATTCAGGTTGTTATTTTTGAATAAATTGATACATCTTGACTTAAACATTATGTCAAATCAATATTTGTATTTTAATTTAGGCTCCATATTTGTAAAAAATACTACTACAAATATAAAACTTTGATATAAAAAACCGAGCATCTTGAGGGCCGCATTGCAAGCTAAAATGACTATATAGACCATTGTAATGACTAAGAAGGTAGCCTTGGATCTAACATCTTTTCTTAAATAAACTAAAAGAAAATGTTAAACAAAACACATAATAAGCTTTAGTGGTTTAACTTAACATGTGGTTAAAAATGCAACAAGTAGACTAAAAGTTGAATGTTAAAATATTGATTTATGATGTTATAGAAAGATATGCAACAAGAACTTATATAACTTAATTTAGGTTTCAACTAAATACATATCGTAAAATTGTTCTCACAAAAAAGGAAAAAGTAAGGCCATCAAACTAGTACACTCTAATACCGGTCATAATAATAGCCATTAGGATCTATCCTTTTTGAATAATAATTATCGGTGTTTTTACCGGTAGATATTCGTTTCTTGGAGGAACTCGCCTGATGCAAAGAGCAAGCATAGTAGAGACACAGAATTTATACTAGTTTGGGCCCCTAGGAAGCGAGTAAAAGCCGTACGTCCAGTTGCTACTTGTTTGTATTATGATCTCGTCGAATAGCGAGATGGCGATTACAAGATGGCTATGCCTATGAGAGTTTCGATGATTACAACAGGGCGGATAGCTAGCTATTTATATCCGAGGCCTACTTGCCCTACAAGTTACATAGTCGTGCCCCAGTCGGAGTTTTGGCGTGATCTTCATATATCCTTCCTTGAATAGACGAGTCGTGATCCTTCGGGCCTTCTTTGGTACGGATTTGGTAGCCAGCATATCCGGTTGTCAGGAATCCTAGGAGTATGGCACCATCAATAGCCCCGAGCTTATCGGTCAAGTAAGACTCGGTAACCTTCCTATACTCGAGCCTTTTCAGGGTGTTCGGAATCAGGACTTTATTTCAAGAGCCCGAGTTCATACCTATGAGAGCGAGGCTGGTCAGGTAGAAGTTATAGGGTCGCATAGTTGGGCGATGAGCTGTAAAAATAAAATAAGCCATACTTTGGAGTCATCTTGTCTTGTCAACGTGGTCTCCGTCCGAGTCAGGTGGCGGTTGTCAGGCACTCGAGTGGCCGTGCCGGTTCGACTTCCAAGGATTACGTGTGGTTTGCGATTAATGTGTCGCTTTGATTCATGGGCAACGGTTGGCTTGCCCTCCCAATCACCCTGGCCCTACCATTATAAGCGGGCGTCTGAGTGTTGGATTGGATCCACTTAGCATCTGCACTTTTGCAGTCATGAGGACTAAGACCATCAGCCGCCACCGCAAGATCCCTCGCCTATTGCTTGGGGATTCGCTTGGACAGTCTGTGGGGGCCTCACCTTCGTCATCTCCCTTGGCGTCATCGTCTCCTGCTCCGGCGTCGCCTGCCGCTTCATCCCTGACCCCATCGCCAGCCACAGCGCCCTCACAAGAAGAGGCCGCGTTCGTGAAGGAGGAAGGAGAGGCCGTGGTGAGTACTAAGGAGGTCACCGCCCTAGCCCCGGGGGAGCCAAAGTCCAATGCGCTAAGAGAGGGTGTCATCGAGCTTTCCGACGATGAGTCAGAAGATTTGATCGCCTCCCTTGCTGCTGCCGCCAACGCTAGTCCCTCTGAAGCCGGACCCTCCACTCCTCGGGTCGGCGCCGTGTCTGACATAAGCGGCGACTGGGAGTTCACCTGGAAGCTTTTCGTTGAGCTGAACCAGGAAGCCATCAGAATCCCTGACGATGGGGTCCTGGTTGACCTGGTGAGTGACAACGAGGAGATCGTGGAAGCCGATGCTGGTGAGGTGAAGGAGGAAGTCGCCCTAGGCGGCGAGGAGAAGGATGTCGCGGCAGACGACAAGCCGCCGGAGCAAGCCGCCACGCCTCCCAGTCCTCCACCAAGCGCCTGAGCTTGGTGATGATCACCTTGATTGGGCCATTTTGTCCCTGTACCACAAGGATTTCGTCCTTGCAGATCATGATTCGTGCAGAGCCCGACACGGTGATTCGGTCCAGGAATAATTAATTAGTGCTTTAAGAATTCCCGTTGTAAATCCATGTTTAAACGAAGTTTATTAATGAAAGAACTTTTAGTCGGTCTATTTTTGTAGTTAAATGTGTTTATACATCATGTGCATAGAAACAGGCCGATGATTCTATCTTAGTTCCGGCTATTTGGTGTGTTCACGAGTCGTTCCGCTCATCTCGTGTTGTTCGGGCTTTTAGCATTTGCTCATTTGTCAACCAAACACGCGGAAATATCTAACTAAAATTTTCTTCCAAGAAAAGAAATGTTTTAATGAAATATAAAGGAAAAACTAACCGAATGATAATTATGGTGCATGAATTGAGGTGCGCACTGTGGTTGCCGTGCGTTTTTTCGGGGATCATGTGGGCCGTGCGGCCATTTAACCCCTCATTTCGCTTTGGTGGCAACCACTGTTGCACCCTTTCACATTTCCACATTTGCCAGTCGCCCTCCTTCCCCCTCGAGCTTTTCGTCTTCCTTGCGCTAGCATGGCCTCCGCCCAACAGCAATCTGAGGGTTCGATGAGTGCCTCCAACCAAATGAGCGCTGAGAAGTTGCAGTCTTCCCAGCCCTCGAAGGTCGTGTAGCTTGATGAATATTGGAAGATGTCGACCACAAAGGTGAAGGATTTGAAGAAGCTGAGGGAGCGAGGTCTACTCCTAGATCCACAGATTTACGAGTGGGTCGCCACTAAAGGTCAGGAGCATCCCACCCCCGATACCCACCAAGCTG